TTAGGTTTTAGTAATTTTATTTCTAATTATAGAAATACAAATACTAAAAGGCTACTACAAAATGTTGCGATGTGATGCCGTTGCCTATTTCTATTGATTAAACAAGAGGCCCGAAGGTAAACGCATCGTTACTTGAGCTAAAGCCGTGGACAGTGCAGCACTGAGGCGCGTGTGCTGTGGCGTTCGCTTTCACGTGACGTATGAATCAGCGCTTGCGACACGGCAGACAAGAGGGCAGATGTAGCGTGACTGGTTAGAATGTTGGGAGTGTTCATACTGACATAAACACAATTTGCCAGTATCGAGGTCAGAAAAAATTAAGGTTATGTCCGTATATCGTACGATAAGTCCATAGCATAATTATCGTGACAGGCCTAGATGTAACTCATGTAATTAGCTCTTCTTGCTTATTGGTTTATTCTTTCCTGTAGATAGCCTGTCAGGTAATATGGGTCTGCTTGTTTGGTTCTGCCAACACCGCTGCGTAGCATGTGAGCAGGGATGTGTACGTTTAAGATTGTTTAGCAAGACACAGACCCAATACTGAACCTTCTGGAACATGCAAGGAGCAACAGGGCTTCTCTCTTTAATAGGGAAGCCTGTGGACTTCGACCATTATGGAGATGTCCACATCCCAGCTGTCATCCTGAAGACCTTCCTGAGGGAGCTGCCCCAACCGCTGCTGACCTTCGCCCTCTACAACCCCGTGCAGGACATCATGAGTTAGTGTGTCAGATGCTTATGATGGTCTTGGAGCTTTATCGTGCATTCCATTTGCCCCGGGATCTGATTTTCGGATTCCGATATTATGTCACATCCGCTAAAAACTCGAGAAAACCGAGTCGGATGCGTTCCATCTGCCACAGAAGTAGCAATACCATGGACCCATATGAAAAAGCAAGATTTTTTGCTTAGCCGGACAACTTGTCGGATTTAAGGTACCTCAGTTTAAATGGCCTTTATCTTCATTCACTTACAATTAGCCCGAACTACCTTAAATCTGACAAATAATCCAACTAATCATGAAATCCAATTCTAGCCCGGTTAATTGGTAGCCATTGTTAGCAATATCAGTTGATAACACATTACGCGCGGTGCTTCACGTATAAAACAACGTAGCAACACGTCCACAGATAAGTTGGACGGTATAGTGTGTGCGACCGATTTAATGAGCCACAAATGAGAAGCAGTGCTTAAACAGTATAAAACTACAACTTTCCCTTTTGTTGATAAAGGGCGCAGCCATCTTGGATTCTGAACTCGGGATCCTCAGTGCTGTCCGAGATATTTCTCGGATCTCCGAGAAACGGCAGCGCGCATGTCGTCACTTCCGGCTTCAAAACTCGGAATCCAACTCGGAATCCGAGTTCCGAGGGTAAATGGAACGCACGAATAGATATCAGCTTGGGATCGGTCAGATCTCCTACTCTATGTGCCTTCCATAGCCCAGTGTGATGGTTCAATTCACTGTTATTCATGGACACTTCATGCTGTACCAGGCAGTCGATGGTGTGACTCAAAATAGAATGTTTGTCGTCTGCCTTACAGGCATTGAGAGCAGCTTGCGGGTCACCACCTGCAAGCGGATGGTCGAGCACCTCCCTGAACACAATTTCCTGGTCCTGAAGTACCTGATCTGCTTCTTGCACATGGTGAGGATGTTGCCAGTGGGCCGAAATTGCTTCACATTGCATCACAGGCCTTTGTTACACTTATTTTTGCGATTGTTTGTAGCCTATTTGGGGTGTCTGGTGAGAATACTAAGTAAGATATACCTCACAATATACAATTGCATGTAAGCTACATTGGCAGTTTTGCATTAAGAGCTCTATCCATTGGTCTTAGGTTGTCATGGTTTAGCGTGTGTGACGTTCATGTGTTGCCTCTGTCCTATATAGCAGTAGAGGACAACTGAGTCCAATAGCCCACAGAGATTGGTGGGTTAGGCCTATAAATAAACTGCCAAGAGGAACTCGGGAAGCCTCCAGACCTGGGACATAGTTGCTGAACCCAGGAGAATCTGTGTGGGGAGAACTGGCATTAGCAGACTGCCCTCTGCAGGACAGTTCCTGCATTTTCAGTTGTAAGGTTCAGTAAATACAGATAATTTAATTAGTACTGTGTTTGTTAGTTACAGACATGCAATTAAATAATAATTTAATCATTTGGTTTGTGAAATTAATCAGCAGTGAGAGTAACTGTGGTAATTTTACCGTTTCCGTGTCGCACGCGGCAGATGGAGGAACACTTCAGTTTTCGTAGTTAAGTATGAATTGGCACACCAGCATGCCTTCATCTACATTCAGTGCTGCTTGAACCCTGTGGATAATCAATTTGTAAAACTGAATAATCTTCCCTGGTTATTCCCACTGGAGTAATTAGTCACCATGACAAGCCGCTTTAATTAGGAAGAATAGTGGATAATGACTCACAATGCAGTCCGCTGCTATTCTGTAAGCAGGAAGTCAGATTGGAAGCTGGTGGGGTGGGGGCTCTGTATGTCGTCGTCTTGGGGGATGTGTTGTACAACATGCTCTGCGTAAGACAGTCCAACAGGTAATACGAGTACGGGAGGCGTCTGGCAAGGTCCAGCCAGGGCTCCCGGAAGGGAATGAACCGCGGGGTTTATGAAAACGTGCCACGTTTCCGGATTACAGTGTGATGATTCAGTAGCTCTGGCAGCACTGAACAGAGATGGTTTGTCTGGTAACTGTCGTCATCCTTCTCCGATCTCTTTTGGTCTTCCTCCTGTCCTTCAACTTCCAGGTTTCTCAGGAGAGCATCATCAACAAGATGAGCCCGTCCAACTTGGCCTGTGTGTTTGGCGTCAACCTGATTTGGCCCAACCACGGCTCTGTGTCACTCGGCGCCCTGACCCCCATCAACATCTTCACGGAGCTCATCATCGAGCATTACCCCAAGGTGTTCAGCTCCCGGTCAACTGCCCAGCAGCTGCTGCCCTGAGGGGCCGCCATCATGCCATCACCGGCAAGGCCTCAACTTTCTTCTGGACCACATTGAATGCTAGTGGGCCAGGTGTTGCCGTGTCCGCCCCTGACACCAGAAACAAGACCTGTCCCCAAGCTAAACCAGCATTAGTATCGCAAAGTGACCACTCCCCCAGTATGAGATCTTATAATGAAGGCAAGGATCTGTCAACTGTTATTCTGCTGCAGGACGGATAGGGTTTTTGCACTGTTATTTTAATAGTATTCTTTACCTTTACATTACCATCCCATTTCTTCTATGTTTAAGGTCACTGATACATGTCCGAGTATAGTTTGGTAGCCTAGTGAATATTAAGTTGAGTATCGTTTTCATTCCTCACTTAATATTTTTATTATACCCGTTGAGGCAGTAGTTAAGAGTGTTTTGTGACGTTGTCAGTGTTCTGTGCAGTTTTTTTTCCAAGTTGTGGTTCATCTTTGAAGTGTTCCTTTATAGTTTCTAATTGGCCGGGATGGGGTGACTGCACCCCCTGACCTGCTGTTGCATAACCATGTGACCTCTTCTCATCACCGGCCGCCCAGCTGTCCTCCTGTATGCATATAGACCTTCATGCGGACAGAGGTGGTTTGGGGGCGACTGATCCAGGGTCAGTAATATGTGATTAGACTGTGTTAGGGGGCCTATTCATCAGATGGAAAGCAATGATGAAGGGACACTGGATATAAGCAGACAGGGATTTCAGTTACCTACTTCCTGGTCCAAATACGGCAGAGCTGATCCTCTAGAGAGAAGGAGTGTGTTTTTTCCCCTCTTTCTCTATGAATCACAGAGCAGGTCTTTAAACTGCTGCCTTAGGGCAAACAGGCGTAGGTTGAGGTCTGTAGATGGTAAGCTGGGCCAATAGAATGAGAAGAGGTGGTACTCTGGGGAGGGTGGAAGTGCCTGCATCTATGCTTGGGGGTGGGGGGGGGTAGTTCATTAGCAGAAAGCCACCCTGCCTCATTATGCTCCTCTTACTACAAGCAGGTGACTGAGAACGTAACTGACTGTGCTGTTTAAATTAATGGCCACTACAATAAACTTGTTTGGTTATCCATTGTGCTCGTTTACTTTACTATAGGCTGGGGGGTTTTCCACTTCAAGCTTGCAGCAGGACCAATTTCAGATTAATGAGTAAAAATTATTTAATATAAATGTTCAACCAATTCTGTTTGATTTTGTTTTCCCCAGGTATATCAGCTTTGAATCCCAGTTTTGCTGACCTTAATTGCATCCATCCATCTTCCATAATGGCCCATCCAGTACAGAGCCACAGTGAGCCTGGAGCTTATCCCAGATAGCACAGGGTGCAAGGCAGGGGGCACCTTGGATGGGCTTCCAGCAGTCACACGGTATACGGGCAAGGCAGAGACACCAGAGCATCGAACAGCATTTGGAGGAAATCCATCCAAAGAGGCCATTATATAAGCTCCCTCTACACAGGGTCAGGGTTGGGACTTGAGCCCACAACGTTCTGGATGCTGGGCCACAGTTCTGCCCACTCTTCCAGCCTGACCTTAAGTGACGCTCGGGGTGTTTCGCTGTCACGCTTGTCAAAGCCAGTTACTCCCTATATAGGAGATCTGGGTATCCTTGTTACATGCCATTTTGGCTTGTGATCTGTCAGGCTTGGGTTTAGTTTTTTTTAATAGGGTCAGTTGTATTTTTTCCCCTGTGTGACTAGAAACTACATGACACAGCAGGACGTGAATCTTTAATAGTGGCTGGCAGCATAACATGCCTGGTTTTTACAGAGCACACACTGGTTTGTTCAGGGTTGCGATAATGTAGAGCTTCTCCCTAGGCTTCCTAGTTGCAACGCAGGTCTCACCACAAATGGGATTCCTGGCCATCATGGCACGCACACACAATGTTCAGCCTGAGCTCACGTACATCTTCAGCATCCATTTCCCAGCATGAACTCGAGCTTGAAAAGCTGTCCAGCTGTTTTATTGCAGTTTGTTTCTCAAAGGACTCCATATAAAAAAATGGAGACTAGGCTTCATCAGTCATCAATTTCAATTAACTGATCTTTAATACGTTAGAAAGAAAAAAAAAACTACATTGGCATATGTAGGACAAACACTTTCCCTGTACACATTCTACTGGACAGTCCCCCATTTAATTACAAAGAAAGGCGATTTTAATAGTCCCAAGAGAAATTCCTGTCGTCTTTCCCTAGTAAATGAAATGCTTCAAGCTTTTCGCGAGCCATGTCTGAATGCATAATTGGCAAACGATAAACTTTCAAACCCTTTTTCCCCCTCCTTTTTTCAATTGTTCCTTGATAAAAGAATATAAAACTTTTTTTTTCTTTCATTTTTGTTCAACGTAGCGTCAAGTGTATTAAAATAGATCTGTATTACGCTGCACAGTTTCTTCCGGAGAATTCTGTAAATGGTTGACAGAGCCGGGGACACATGCTGTTTAAACGACGCGTGGGAGTGTGTTCTTGTCGTGACGCGGAGGGCTGATATGGTGTGGGGGTTTTCCCGTTTCCGGATTATCCCCAGCCTTTTTCTCCTCGCTCCTGGTTCCGCTCCTACAGCGCAGCAGCGTTCCCTAAAACAGGCAAATTCCTACAGGCGTATGACAGTCTGTGGGTCGGGATGGCGACTGATATGTGTCAGATTCACTCTACATTTGTCAGCTTTCCATCCGCTTGCTTTTAACTGCCCACCTCCAGCCGTCGTCTTGCTCCTCCCAGACCTCTGCACGTTGCATGCCATGTCAGTCACATGGTCCACAGGACTTCCTTATAGGAGATCATTTTTGTCCGAAAAAAAAATCAACCACTCACTAAAATCGGCAACTGAAATTTAAAGTGATTTATAACATCTGTCACTGACTGCTTGCTGTGAACCCTCACTGTTCTCTCATTCCTCTGTAAACTTGCTGTCAGCTCTCTTTCTGCTATCATTTTGTTCCAAGGTTAATGTTCCTCAAATCAGCAATGGACGTGGAAAGGAAAGTGCAGGGTTTTTTCCCTTTAACTTCCAACTTCACAAAGAGTGCTTCCTATTGGATGATGAACTGGAAATACTGGGAAAAGGTTTTAGTTGCTTATTGTTGTGTGTGTGTGTGTGTGTGCGTGCGTGCGCGCATTCGTTCGTTTAGCTCAATCCTAAATGTGGGAATTCGACCAAGATTAATTAAGGGAATAATTGCAGAGGGAAATGTACAGGCCCTCTAGAACTGTCTTGCGTAGACAACTGAATTACTCAAGACCAAGAATTTTGAAAGGCCAACAAGAAATAAAGCTTAAAAATGAGAAAATGGTGCCCTTGAAGACCCAATTGTGACGTGTTCCAGAGAGATCTGCCTAGGCTCCGGGTTCCCTCAGACGTACACACAGATCTCCCCAGAAAACCTGACTGCCATACAAACAGCACAACAGAACATCTGTGATCCTTTCAACAGTCATTGGACTTTTCCAGCTGCTTTGCACATGGACAGTGAAAATAAAGAACACAGAAAGGCTTTTGCAGAGTCGACGTACGGTGCTCACGCAGATTTATGTCTCCCCCCTTCTCGCATGGGAGACACAACCTGCTGCTTTACGTGGCTGCGCCTTTCTGGCCTAAAAACTAGCCCTCGTATCAGTCGGTGTTTCGGTTCATATGAGTATTGTATTCCAATTGTCTGCATCCAAATAAGCAATTTGATCTGTAATATAAAAAAAATGTGGAAAAACATTAAGACCAAGTTTATCGTTATCGGATATTTCCTTCTCGCCAAAGCATTTTCGGCCATATCATTGCCTCCTGTGAAGGCTGAACGTAATTGCATGTGGAGCAGCGGAAAGGGAGGCTGCGAGGCCATGACACCTTCCCTGTCCTCCCAAAAACCTTGGCGTAGCAGGAAGACTAACTGTAGGAATCAATGCAACGTTCACAGCAAAATCTGTCCCCCTGAAACGGACACTCCAGGAAGTGTCCTCGTGTCCTCTGACTGGGAAAAAAATAGCAGAAAACATCAGGAAATTACTGATTGCTCCTTGAGGCAGTGTGGATTTGAATTGTCACGTAGATAAAACTCCTCAAAGCGAACCCTCCCCAGGAAAATGTCATGTTCAAAAATAAAAAAATCACAGGAACAAAAAAAAAACAGCTGTGCTGTGCATTGATGCAACAAGAAGATGACAGACTAAATAAACGAAAGACAACAGACAATAAAAAAGAATTTCCAGTACAAAAATGACGGGTTTTTTGGCATAATTCCTATACTGGTAAAGGAAGGACAGTGACAGGATGCAGAGTAGCACACCTACAGGAATGACTAATTACTTTTGGAAAACACCTATTTTTGATCGCAACCACAAACAAGATCTGAAGAATAATGATAAAAAAAACAAAAACCAGCATTAACAATTCAATTTCTGTACAGCAAACCTCTCCTCAAATACTTCATTTTACATTATCAACAAGCAAGAAAATACTACATTTTTCACTAAAAAATGCTAAATTTCGTAGTAATTTTAAATACTTCTTTTTTTTAACTATGTTAATACTGAAAAATGTAATTCTCTGTTTTTGTTTGAAGGCTCATGTTTATGCATGTGATGACACCCAAACTCGGTCCTGATCCCTCCTTCTCCCAAAGGAACCTGGAGACGTTCGGGTACGTAAGCGGCTAAGGCTGGCTACTGTTTCAGCGCGCCGCCCAATTCCACTTCCACTGTTCTCATTTATTTGTGACTATTTTCTACTTCTAGGCGCTATCGGTCTCTCTCCCTATATCCGAGAATGTTTGCTCGTTACAGCTCCTGACATGTTAAAACCACGACACGGCTTTCCCCCGTGTCTGCAACAGGCGTGCGTTTGATCCTGCTTTAAAAATTCATAAATACATTAAGGCCAAGAACATTAAACAAAATCGATACGTTTAAAAAAAAATCTCATAAGCACTGAAGGTGTTTAAAAAAATACTTGCTGAAGACCTCATGGGATGTCCTTTCTGTTCCCACAACAGCTCATTAAAAAAAACGTAATCTTTCCCTTTTAACGGACATGTTTGATATTACCACAGACGCGTTTTTCGAGTCTGTTTCTGGGATGAGTTAGGGTGTGGCCAAAGATTTGGCAGATGGCTGCTTGGCTCAAAGGTGCGAGGGTCTGGATGGGTGGAACCGAGGTGGGGTCAGTTGTTGCTCGTGGTCTGTGGCAGGGGCTTCTGAAGTAGTGTAGAGGTCCCAGCAGGGGGCGCTGTCACTGTGCCAGAAGGCTTGATCCAAGGTAGCGAGAGGAGGGACGCCCCGGTGGTAGTAGTAGCTGTCATGGTAACCTGGATCATCTGGTCTCGCTGGATGAGCCGGATCAGAGCCTTCAGCCTCTCGAGAGAGGCCTGGGTCTCCTTCTGCTGGCTCAGAAGGCCACTCTTCATGTCCATGCATTTCTGAACCAGACCAGAGAGCCATTGATTACTTCTCTGAGCCAAACAAAACTTCCAAATTAGCATCCTTTAATGTTGCAAGTGTCAATGTTCTCTTCCAATCTGAACAGTACTGAAGAATGAGACTACCATCAGTGGGTGGTAGACTCCAGCTAGGGCAGGTCTATCAGGATCAGAGGTGGAAAGATCTTGTCCATAAAGTAAAAATCCAGACCAAGGTTTTGTTTCAACCAGCCAGTTTAGTATAAAGAGTCATGGTCACAGAGTACTCAACTGGTTGGTTGAAACAAAATTCTGGTCTGGATTTGTACTTTCTGGACCTGAACTTACCACCTCTGGTCAGGATACACAGACAGTACCACATTCGTACCATGTGACCTGTCAATCCACAGAATGCAGGCAGTGCCACGTTCACGTCATTTGACCTGTCAGCCTACCGTACACAGTTTCAAACGCTCATGTCACATGACCTACAGACAGGCCACACCCCTTCTCTGACATACCGTGAGCGACTCGCTCAGCTGCTGGTCCCGCTCTTCCAGCAGGGCGCACTCTTTCTTCAGCTCGCTGTTCCTCCTCATCAGCTTCTTCTTCTCCTCCTCTCTCACTGCATAAGAGCACAGGCAGACTAACATGACGGATGCTGCCTTCCTCTCTCTAAGCCAGCATGCCAGCAAGGATTTCCATCCTACAAAGTTACCTCAAATGTTTAACTTCTAATGTGTTATTAATGTTCCCAACCATCTTCCGACCAACTACACAGCCTGTAGGGGGGTAGGGGGCTATCCCAGACAGCGTATGAGGCTACACCATGGAGAGCACATCAGTCACAGTATAAAAACATGCAAGCTCCACTGAACAGAAGAGAGGCAGCATTCAATCCCCAAACCCTGGAAGCCCGAGGCAGCAGACCTACTCACTGAACCTCCCTGAACACTTGCATCCTTATTAATAAATGTTAGAATTATTGTTTCATGGGCTTGTTTACCTGTTTTGTGTGTTACATATGAATGAACGAAACTCTGCGGCCATGACAAGTTGTCTTTGTTCAGTACCTGGAAGTAAGAAACACGTGAAATAAAGAGGTCAATCTTTATCTTGCAAGGGCAGAACTTCCGCATTAGAGACAATGTGTTCTTTATATCTGAGAGCTTAAATGAGACAATGAGGGATTTGTGAACCTGTGGGGTATCCTGGGTCACACATTCCGGGCTGCTTTCACAGCTGTCTATGTCGAATCATTACAACAAGCTGCTTTTCTAATGAGGCAAGTTACCAAGAGGCTCACAGGCTCATAATTACAGTGACGGCTCCAGAATTAAGTAGCAAACCTTAGACAATATTACTCAGTCCATTAACCAATGGTTTAAAAAGCTGATCGAAGTAAAGGTAGCGTCAGATTTGAAAAAAATCGTGGCTACATATTACTAAACAGTATAATAAATAGTAACATTCTATTGTTCTCTTCTTAGTTGAATGAGCAATTTCCCACCTTTAAGACTGTTCACAGTAAGCCATCTTTCGGCAAACATTCCAAAGAAAAATCGCTGATACCAGCAATTTTTTAAAGGGTTGTTTTTGGACTCTGGAATGGCCTCCATTCAGCTCGAGCAGGGATCCTCTCATGAACAATTACCTGCCTTTTTGGTGATTATTTTTGGAGAGGACTGAGATGGAGTTCTTTAATAACAAACACTAAGTAAAATATTTGCAAGGCAGGGGCTCTGTATTTACAGCTGACATGTATCTATACCCAGACAGAGCTGCCCAGTTTGGACACTAGATTATTAGATAGGACATTAAATTAGTGTGGTGTATACAGCCATGATCTTCCCTTAAAAACACGTTTTGCCACATGCCTCAGAGAATGGCTGGTAAAGGCTGTTTGTGGAGACCCACCTTCTTCTGGCACTTGGGGCAGGACCAGGGGCCCTTGGGGGGGCTCCTGAGGGGTGGGTGGAGGCAGTCGAGGTGGTAGGCGCGGGTACAGTTGTGGCAGGGCTGCAGATCGCCTTCCTCTTTACATACAGCGCAGCGCTCATCATGCTCCAGCAGCTCCTGTCACGTAAACGGAACAGGCCAATCACGACAGTGTCGGCATGGCGTCCAGCCAAGCCACACCCCTCAGTCCCAAAAATTCTAAAAGTAAGATGAAGAAAATTAAAGTGAATTTGTACTCCTCTCCCCATTCAATGTACAATTAGATGGTTCTCGTCATGGTAACTATTACTCATGTTGGAATTAACCATTACCCACCAGTGTGAATGTCTGTTTTTTTCCTTATATACAATGGGCATTGGAAAATGGGTGCTGTTATCTTATCTTTTTTTGTCTAAAATTACTACTGGAGCTATAAACAGAACTAAAATAAGATTAGAAAAGGGTGGAGGTCAAAGGAAGCATGGTAATCTTATAGTAATCACTAAGGATAAGGATGCAGATAAGTAGAGACTTCTGGCAAATCTGGCAACTTTTCAGAAATCACTTCAGAAAAACAAGAGAATGTGAGTCCAATCAGTAAGCGTCTCCTGTGTGCCATGCTGGAATCGCTTCAGAAAATAAGAAGCAAAAACGAGAGTGAAATGACTGGAGGTGTATCTGCAGCTTCGCCATTCTTCTGGATAGTTAAAGATTTAGAACAAAGATGTATTATGTATGTGATTTGATCCAACACACCTACTGAATTTATCCGTGGTTGGACATGTTTGATCGGCATTTCCATGTGCTCAACGTTACAGACAATCTGAGTGTCTTATGGATGTGGTTTTAATTCAACACCATGACAGATTAAATATTTTTAAATTAATTTAAAATTTATGATATTGTCTGATGTCTCTAGTCAAATATATGCAACATGGAGATAAGCTCATCTGGGTTTTAGGAAGGTGCCGGACCTGAACTTGGAGAAGCAGCTAAAACACCAGTCACATGGTGTCGGTCTGCCGAGATGCACCACTGGGAATGACCCACCCCTTCACAGGTGAGTGAGGGGACCCTGTCAGCCTCGTGTGCTCACCATTAAACACGTCTAAGCTTTCACTCTCCAGCCCAAAGCACCTAATTAGCCAATCAGCACAAATATCCTGGCTCTGGGGACCCGCTGTGATGAAAAGCATCAAGTTCACCATGCTGCACAGAAATACTGGTGTTCTCCCGTACTGCAGCGGCACGGCAGCAGAGAGGAACACAAACAGCTTTGGCGGTCCAAATAGGCCGAAAATCCACTGTCTCAAAAGGGCAAAGGTGCGCAATTAGGGAATTCGGCAGAAAAGGTACCCATGTATCTGACATTTACGTCTTACAGCTGAAGCAGTTACAAGCTCGGTTCCAGGGCCACGGATGACGGCTGGAAGTGAAATAAATGAGTTTGGAAGAGGGAGGGTCAGCTGCTGAACATGTTCCTATGTCGTGTTTGACTCTAGCTATCAGAAACTAAAGGCCGTCTCCTGAAATAACAGCATATTTTTCACGGGCGGTGTGAGAATATTTTTCCCCTGATCGGTGATATTTCGCATTAATCCTGTAAAGACGATTGTTTTCTTACAATATACAATCATTTAATTCATACAGTACAATCACCACAAAGCTGTTCTAATGTAATTGATACATTAGTACCCAAGTCTGAAATAGTGTGGATTTGCATTTAAATTGGTGTGATTTTCAGTCGGAGAGAAAAGCACTATGCAAACTATAATGCAATGTGGTTAGCACACAAAAACAGCTACCCAAGTGAACGATAGTGATGTCCGATTCATGAACAAATCGTTCTTTTGAGCCCATTCTTTTCAGTGAATCTCTCAAACTGGTTTTCATATCTAAAAGAATCAAACTTTTTGTACCTCCACGCATTCCACAGGTCAAAGTCTTAGATTCTAAAACTCTAAAAGTATTTGACAAATTATAATATAAAAACAGAGCCGCGTTTTTTAATTCACTTACATTTGCTTTTCATAGACTGTCTATAGCTATGTCCTCCACATAATCTAATCCGATGTATTTGTGTTGTGTGTGTACCCAGCCACGATAGCTGTGGATCACTATTCCCGACTAACGATGGCCAAAACCATGCTTCATTAACCATTTCCTGTATTTTCTGAACACACTAGATGGTGCTCTCTGTTTGAAAAAGGGCTTAAAATATGCCGAAAACTAAACCAAGAGCACCATGTAGTGGGGTCAAAAAATACAATAAATGGTTCATAAGGCATCATTTTGGCCATCCCTACTCTCGCCATCCCTACGCTCGCCATCCCTACGCTCGCCATCCCTACTCTCGCCTCTTAGCAATTAGCAAGTTCGGCGCGTTCGGTTGAAGTGGTTACTAGCCAATTCTCTTGAGACCCATAGGAGATGTTTATGATATAATTTATTAATGTATCAGTATTATTTCTTATTTAAAATGCAGCTAATTATATTATTGGCCACTTGTAGTGCTGTTTTCATTATTTAATTAGCTTTATTTGGTGTTAAGTTACTAAGTCGCATTCACCTAACCCTATTTTTCCCCATTGCATATGTGTATTTTAGTATGTGATTTTAGTGAATGTGATTTTTCAGGAACGCGTTAGTCGTATTGTAACCGGACTGACTGTATCTGTTTATGCATACATCGGCCATCTTCATTTCGACATCAGTCCAAAACAGAGGAAAGTACCAGTGTTTTTACAAGGGAAGCACAACATGAATAGAGCAGCCATAGAAACAGCATCCACATCCACAGACTATTAGGTTTGTTTGCCCCCCCACATGAAGGGAGTGGTTAAAGGACCTGACACTTGAACACCAGCAGGCCACTCACAGACACCACTTACCTTCCAGCTCAAGTCCTCAGTGTCTAGCGTGCGAACAGGAAGCAGATGAAATGGGTTAGTAGCTTGAAACAGGCTCAGACAGACAGGTCAGCATTAGGGTTAGGAGATCAGTCAAGCGAGGCCCTTCTGAAAAAGCCTTAAAGAGTGATATACTTATGAAGTTTATGGCTTATTTATCTGCAACAATGTCCCCCTCACCCATTAGAACAGTGTTTCTCAACCCAGTCCTCAGCGAACCCCAGCCAGTCCACGTTTTTGCTCCCTCCCAGTAGTTGAGCTATAACCGTGGCTGGATTTAGCTGTGCATGTAAACATAATGACTGACAGCACATAGCAGTGGAGTCACTAAACCTCATATTGACTGTCAATATTCCTATGCTGAAGGTCGATGGCTCAGCCTTTGATCTAGCTGCATATATGGGGGAAATGCCATATAAAACTCCAAGTTGTGGATTTAGAATCATCTGCTTTAATGTGTCTCTTTTTGATTGCCTCAAAGCCGCATGTAATGTTTTTGAATCCTTTGCTTCAGGGAAACCGTTTTTTGTGAAAAGGGTTGTGGAAGAATGAAATGGAAATCCAAAGTGCTTGGGGGGGGGGGGGTGTGGTGGGATATAGACTGTAAGGTGTACCGACACTAATATCTGCATGTGTTTGGTGATGTTTTGCCCTGCCATTCCAGGGGGGTCCGGCGGCAAAATTGTCGCACCTCTTGCAGACAGGAAGAGTGGGTTGTTCAGGAAGTGAGATGCATGGCGTTTGCGCTGGGAAGAAACAAGCAGAGAGCATTATATTAGGGCCTCCCCTAGACTCAAGCAGGTTACCATGGCCTTTCACACAGGGCATGTTTCCCAGCATGCACTTGGGCCAGTGCTCACCTCAGGCTCAAACAGGCCGCTGTATGCGGGATTGGCTGTACTCCTTCTCTTCCTCTCCTGCCTCTTGCTCTGGATCTCTGTAATGAAATCAATATCCCGTCACATTGCAGTTAAACAAAAAGGAGGCGAATTCAGCACTAAGAGTGAAATCCAAACAAATTCATTAATTAATATCGATAATGAGCCCATTATAGTAGCTCCACAAATGAAAACTCTGTGCTGTGGACAATAACAGTGACGGGAATTGTCTGGGGATTTAATAACGCACATCTCTCAGCAGGATGTACTCAGGAAGTACTCATTAGTATTCATTTAGCAGACACTATCTTTAAACCAAAACCAATTTCCTAACCTTTAAATTAAAAATGTGTGCTTAATTCAACAGTCAAACATTATACATCAGTAATGTGGGATAAATACTCAGCTAAAGGGTAGAACTGAATGTTTCGGTCACAGTTTAGAAATGTTTAACCTTAAAAATTAAACGGTACTTTTCACATAAACTAATGCCAGTGCAGCTTTAAATATCAAGTGGAAAGGAGCTCAGAAGTTTCACTATCAAAATCAGGTTGCAAATGACCATGGATTCAATCAGTGCACGCGTTCAAGGAACTCACCTTCCAAATAGTCAGTGGTCACCAGGCCAAGAGCTGTCATGAAGGCAATTTTCTGTGGGAGGACAGGCACACTGGTTAGGCCGTAAGAGACGTATTTGAGCGCAACGATGCCAGAGACATCCACTGATAGGCTAAGGCTTAAGGGAATGACCCACCTTAGCTCCTCAAGGTAATCAAGTTAGCATATTCCTCATAAGGTGTGTCAGACTACTGTTGCTAGGGACGAGGTGAGTAAGGGTGCTGAGAGGGCTCATTGGTTAGTGACTGAGTTTCATGGGTGGGGATCGAATGGATCACTGCAGGACAGTGTCCTGTAATCTTAAGGCTGGTTCATACTTCTCACTTGCGTATACACGGAAACGTTCATAGTAAGCCGTGTACTTTGCACATGCGCACAACGTGTTGTATTTACATTTCTATTAATAATAATATAAATGATTATTCTGATATTCCCTGCACACGTACCACAGCAGTGAGGTTTGTGTCTGTTTCTCTATGTTACACAAATTCAGAGAGCCAGCTCACAGGTTTGCCAACTTTGGTCAGCTGGCTGGCGTGAGAGTTTCAATTCGAGACGAGTCTGCACTCATATACACACGCATTTACATGTATGTAACACTTTTATTACCTTGTAAATAGTCTGTAGGGTTTGGAAACTCTCGTCAAAAGCACCCATGTTGTGATTTAAAGTGGACGCTAGCAAATCGATCATACACAGTGTGTCCAGGACACTTGGAGTGTAGCAGGCGTTCGTCCGCGAAGGCGCACAATGACATCAAACGCGTCATAAAAGTGCATGTGCAAAGTACGTGGCTTGACTGGAGAACCATGACCGTTTCTGTGTACGCAGACACACAGTGGAGACGCGAGTGTTGCGCTTGTGGGGAGAAGAATGAAGCGACCTTTACTTACATGTTTATTCAGAAAAGTTCATGAAGCTGTGTCAGTACTTTCAGGTCAAAGCTTAAATATCCACACCACTCACTTACTCATTTATTTTAAAAACAAAAAAAGTTGCAGTGAAGCTACTGATTTATGCTTTGTTTTATTGTCATCAGTTGCTATACATTTAATTATGTGAACTTTAATGCTAAAATAACACCTGACACGTTTTCTGGACAGTAGCCGGCTTGAGGGATGAGCTGGAATTAGCCAAATGGATGATGGGATCTGGCCTGACACAGTTCCCAGTCACCCCTTCTTAACAACCCCCCCCCACCCCCAAAAGCTCATAATCGATCTTAAAATGCTTCACAATTCAGCTGTGTGCTCAGTCTCAGAACAGATTTCGCAAAACACAACACCTTCTTCTGCTATGAGAATATTAATACTTTACAGTTTGTGGAATATTTCTTGAAGGCACAGGTAGGCGATGTCTCACGTTTGACATATCTCCCACTTGACACATTTCATGGTAGATACACATCACGTTTGACATGTGTCACGTTAGACACGTTATGTTTGACAGATCTCATGTTAGATACATCCCCTGTTAGATGTAATTCTGCTTTCAAACTGTCAGCCTCACATACAGGAATGTTTTCATTACAACCATCAATCCAAAATGTTTTGTACTCAAGTTCTATGATATATCTAGAATGAGTGTCTGTCTGGAGAATTTCAGACTATGGTACTGGTACACAACACCACCTATGCAAAGGCAGTAGTGTTCTTAAGCATTGATTGTAATGGTGGTATGTGGGTCCCCTCACTCAACAATTTTTCCATCACCGTACCACACAGCGCTCACTATTGACCCCAGAATCATTTATGGGTTCGGAGATGCCTTTCTGCACACCACTGATTTATTTTTGCACTTGTGGCCTTCTTGTTAGCTCTAACGAGTCTGGCCATTCTCTTCTGACCTTCTCATTAACGAGGCGTTTTCAGCCACAGAACTGGCTGGGTGTGTTTTGTTTATCGCACAATTCTGTGTAAACTCTACACACTCCAGCGTGTGAAAATCCAAGGGGGACCGGCTGTTTCTGAGATACTGGAATCACCATGTCTGGCATCAACAGTTACATCACATTCATAATCTCTTGGATCAGGAGTACTGGGTGTCCTAATGCTCAGTTGAACAATAAGTGAATCTCCTAATTCTCTGTAGGGTATGTATTCAGTTGCGGTCACATGATTTGCAGTTTGGAGGAGCAGGCTGCTTGCATTCGAAAGCAGGAAAACAATATGTCAATTAAAAATAAATTTATATTAAATATTAGTAATTTGGTTTATTGAATGGGACAAAGCAAATGGTCCTCGCTTTGAGAGGGAAATGGGGGCGGAGTTTAGCGCTGCTTCTGAGAGGGAAATGGGGCGGAGTTTAGCGCTGCTTCTGAGAGGGAAATGGGGCAGAGTTTAGCGCTGCTTCTGAGAGGGAAATGGGGGCGGAGTTTAGCGCTGCTTCTGAGAGGGAAATGGGGGCGGAGTTTAGCACTGCTTTGAGAGGGAAATGGGGGCGGAGTTTAGCACTGCTTCTGAGAGGGAAATGGGGGCGGAGTTTAGCGCTGCTTCTGAGAGGGAAATGGGGGCAGAGTTTAGCACTGCTTTTGAGAGGGAAATGGGGGTGGAGTTTAGCACTGCTTCTGAGAGGGAAATGGGGGCAGAGTTTAGCGCTGCTTCTGAGAGGTAAATGGAGGCGGAGTTTAGCACTGCTTCTGAGAGGGAAATGGGGGCGGAGTTTAGCGCTGCTTCTGAGAGGGAAATGGGGGCGAGTCCCACCTCTGGATCTTCCTCTCGTTTCTTCTTGGAGGGAGGGGCATCTGTGGCTGGGAGGTCCTGGGTGGGGCTGTCAGCCTGCTGGCCAGGGGAATTCTGAGGGCTGCCGGAGGCCTGGGGCTGGATTATTATCACCTGGAAGAAAGGGGGTCACAAAGGGAGGGGGGGGGGTGACAGTCAGCACAGGGGTGGGACTAGCAGCTCTGAGTTACTGTTCATTCAAGGTAAAAACCTCACTAAAGAATACTACTAAGACAGGAATTCTTTAAAAAAAAAAAAAAAAAGTCACTTGCAATGAAGATGCATAGGTAATACACAAGGCCAGGACAAGAGGATGGATGGATGGACGGATAGATGAATGGATGGATAGATAGATGAATAGATGAACAGATGGCTATGTGGCTATAAAGCATTCATTCATTCATTCATTCATTTTCCATGGTTCAGAAAGTAAATCCAGACCGAGATTGTGTTCCAACCAACCACTTGTGTATAAAGACTCACATTCACAGATTACTCAACTGATTGGTTGAAACGAAGTCTTGGTCTGGATTTGTACTTTCTGAACCTGAACTTTCCACCACTGTCTACAATATCTGAATAAACAACCATTTTGAAATGAAATGTAGTTCATTTCTGCAGCAAAATATAATCACTTTATAAAAGTGTATGTTTGCTAGATTTGCTAATCTTGCTGAAAGCTCAGTTGTCATATCATGCAAATAATATATATCTTAAACAAAATGAGATTTTAAAAGGAAGGTTGATTTCCAGGCTTTAAGATGAGATGCGTGTGAAGTGGCAGCATTCCAAATGGAAGGTAGGTTTCCCATAATGCCACACTGTGAAAGGAGCCACGGCACAACCGCAGCTGTCTGGGCTTCTAATGCAGTCATGTGACACGTCACCGAGGATTCCATTCGCTCTTATAACAGACAGAGACATTCACAGGCACATGGGCAATTCTTCAAGAACTACTCTATTGCAGCTGGAATCCAAGGCTAATTACAAGTCTATTCAATATACCAAGTACTGGATTATCCCCAGTTTGTATGCTCCATTCACAACATAACCTTTCAGCTTCACAAGAAACCCATTACATTTACAGAGATTAAAAGCAAGTTTTAATGTGAAAAGGTTATCCTGAAAAGAAAGGAAATGTGAAAATCTGAAAATTGTGTCCAAGGCCTCAGGTCCCCTAGTGACCCTGACGGGGATAAAAGGTTTAGAAGATGGATGGATGAAATATCCAGCTGTCTAAATTGTCTTAAAACAGTAACACGCCTGTCACGTGTGCAAAAGTTTGGGGTACAATGTGCAGTGGATTTAAAACTGTGAACTGAGCAGAGTCCCATCTGCCAGGAGTTGACCAATGAGGATCTATATGATGGAATTAGCTCTGACCTTGTTATCTGCACTGAAGAGCAGCGGCTGCACCTTGACGGCCTCCGATGTCGCCGAAGAGGAGGTCGAGTGGCTGGGTGAGGCGGCGATGATGGCGTAGGCCACGCCAGCGCCGCTGACCCCTGCGGACATGGTGGGCGAGGCTGGCGATGAAGCAGGGGCAGACTTGCCGTTGGGCCGTCCCGCGGGGCTGAAGGTGCTGTTGGCAGTGGGCAGGGCTGGACCAGGGCCCTGGCTCTTGGAGCTGACCACAGCAGGGGCCTTCTGCAGGCTAGGAGGCTGGCTGGACAGCTGCTCCTGCCAGGGGCTGTGCGGGAGGCTGTCCGGGATCAGCGTCTTTGGCCTAACCTGCGGGTTGGTCACAGCGTCAAGTCAGCGATACATTTCTCCAGAGTGCCTTACAATCCTGCCTCTTTAATACAGCTAGAGGGCAGCATAGTAGCTCAGCGTGTGGCACCGTTGTCTCACACGTCTAGGTTTGAATCCTCCCTGCACTGTGTGTGTGTGTGTGTGTGGAGTTTGCATGTTTCCTCTTATGGTCCAAACCCATGCATGTAGGCATCTCCTACGCTGGACTGTCATCCCATCACAGGTATACCCCTGCCTTTTGCTCAGCTGGAGGATGGAGGAACAGCTAGATATTTTGGTTAAGGAACTGGGAACCTGGTACTTTATGTACCAACATGCTACCTTTATGTACCTTATGCTACCTTTATGTACCTTTATGTACCTCATGCTACCTTTATGTACCTTTATGTACCTCATGCTACCTTTATGTACCTTTATGTACCTCATGCTACCTGCTGTCTTTTCTGGAGATCAAGA